GCTCTCTGGAGGCAGAGGCTGCTTCATTCACTGCTGTACCTGTGGAAGGGGAATGAGTGAGTGAACGAATGCCCCAGGAGCCTCGTGCGGAGTCAGACTGAGACCCCGGCGGCGGTGGGGTGGGGGGTGGGGGCGGGCACTGCGGCGGGGCGGGGCTTAGGGGACGGGTGGGGCCGAGGGGGCGGGGAGGGTCAGCGCCGGGGCTGAGGACGCGCGCGGGCGGGAGCCCCGAGAGGCGCCTCCACACCGGGCCTCAAGCCCCCGTCAGCCATTTTTCCCATTTGGTGTTTTACAACTTTCCTTTCTTCCTGACAGATTTCACTACTAAATTTGACTTCGTTTCAACACTTTTGTTGGGCAAATTACATTAAGATGGATGTTGAAGGTACCCTTTATGGTTTATTTATCGTGATACTGTTTGTATCTCACGCTTATAAATAACTTATGTTATAGCTTTTGTTTGTGGAAATGTAACTTACATATTTTATTACGCTTTCTGTAAACCTCAAAGAGAATCTTGTCAAGGAAGCACTCTTATCAGCAATCCAAACTATGGGACGTAAAAACCGACACTGACATTATTTTTTAATATGCCAAGGAGGCAGGTTACTCTTGCTGTAGTTTGAAAGGTTTGCTGTCATCGTAAACTTACACCTCAATAAAACATTAAAAAGTCTCAAGAATGATTTTATAAAGGAGGGAGGAGGGTGAATTGGTGGCAGAACCCATAGACAGAGCACATAGGAGGCCCAGGTATTGGACTGGGCTTCCTTGGGGAGTGACCAGCCCCATCTGGGGGTCCCAGTGGGTCTGTATTCCCCTCCCCACCCAACTGTCTCCAAAGCCTGGTGGTGAAGTATCTAGCTTAAGGGACGTTAGTGGAAAAGAAACGAGTTTTGGAGTCAGGCTGACCTGACTTTGAATCCTGGCTCGTCAACTTCTTAGCTGTGCGGCTCAGGTTAGTCTTTTAGTCTCAGTTTTGTCACCTCTACAATGGGGATAATGCTTACTTGACTTTCTTATCGGTAGGCATTACATTTAAATGAGATCGTGATTTGCAATGCTTACTGGCTGCTCATTAAATGACAGTGGTTCCAATTATTTAATGTTCATCTTGAGATTTTTACTTTCTCCCGCTCTGCTCGGCCCGCTCTGCTCTTCAGGCGCCCTTCCCTCCTCACTGTAAGGTGCTGGCGTCTCTCAAACGCCGCCTCTTCCACCCTGCCGGACTGGCCGCCATCTTCCCTTCGCCTCACCCACCCTGTTCTCTGTTCTCACACTCAGCTCTCCCTTAACTCGGGCGCTGAGCGCAGCTTGCAGCTATGCCGGGTCAGCTGCACGTGTTGAAAGGGGCCCCCAGCACCATGACGCAGAGGCACTTCTAGGTTGCAGGGCCAGTGGAAAGGAGCCTGGGCAGGGGGCTAGAGGGCGCTTCTGGCTGCTCCATCACCAGCCGGCGCAGCGCCCGCACCCCCTGTTCTAGACAAGCCTGATGGGGAAGCGCAGGGAACATCTAGAACACAAGCAGGATACAGCTCTCAGGGGCCAGGTTCTCAAGGTGGTGTAGAAAGTGAAAGCCTTGCAGTCGTGATACCTTCAAACCGTTTCCTGCTTGACTATCAGCTGAAGCTGTTGGCTTGACCTAGTGCCCACACTGTATTCATGAGACATATTAGACCCCTAGGAGCTCATCAGAAGGGTGAGGTATGCCAGCAGTGGCCCACGTCTTCCTCGCCTCCTCACCCTGGGTGAGGATGGTTGAATGGTAGACCCTGAGGACCTGCTGGAGTCTTTTTTTTTTTTTCCTGTTGCTGAGTGTGAATTAGGTACACCTGTGATCTGATTAGAGCGGTTAACAGATCCGACTATAATGGTTCTCTTTTGTGTGGGTTCTGCAAGATGGGGTGTGCCCTTGAGTGCTGGCTTCATCCTTGGGATGGGATGACCCTGAAGAACTCCCACATGGAACTCCAAGTGTCCTCAAGAGTCCTCCCTATGATTCCTGACCGAGGCCAACTCTGGCAAGGCTGGGGGAAGGGCAGGGTGGGTACGGTTCTTGGGGGAGTGTGTGTGTGGAAATATCTGGAAACATCCCAGCTTCCCCACTCTCCTTTCCTCCCTCAGAAAGGGCACAGAATGGAACTTAGCCTTCCTAGGAAGATCAGGATTCTGTGCCAGATTTCTGGGGAAGAAACCTTTAGCCAAACTCAACCACTCCAGTAAAGGCCAGGTAAGAGTCGAGGCTGGAAGATCCCTGGGTGTTGAACTCCTGCCCCTGCGTGTGGTCTGCTCCTGGTGATTGGACTTCAGTGAAGAGAATGCAGAAGTGATGGGTGCCCCTCTGCAGTTAGGTTATGAGAGGCTGTGACTTCCAGGGTGCTGTGTTCTCCCTTGCTCTGGTAAAGCAAGATGCCGTGCTGTGAGCCACCCTATGGAGAGGCCATTTGGCTAGGAGCTGAGGCTCAGTCCACCAGCCCATGAGGGGCGGACTCCTGCCCACAGCCACGAGGGTGTGTGGAAGCAGGTCCTTCCCAGCGAGCCTTGTGGTGAACCAGGCCTATGAGACCCACCACAGCCTGGGAGACCCAGAGGCAGAGCACCCGCAGGAACTGTGAGAGAAGCAGTGCTGTTTCAGTCACTGTGAAAGCAGTAGTTGCTCAGCTGTGTCTGACTCTGCCACCGTATGGACTGTCGTCCGCCAGGCCCCTCTGTCCATGGAATTCCCCAGGCAAGAATACTGGAGTGGGTTGCCATTCCCTTCTCCAGGGGATCTTCCCTACCCAGGGATCGAACGTGGGTCTTCTGCATTGCAGGCAGTTTCTTTCCCATTTGAACCACTGGAGAAGCCACTGTGTTTTGGGGTAATTTGTTATCTAGCAATAGAGTTCTGAAAAACATGGAAATTGATGTAAACGTTAACTGGTTTCAACTTACCATTCTCAAATGTAGGTCTTGGAAGAGACCTCAGGAATGCCTGTGAGGTGACACAGACCTGGGATCACATATTGCCTGTGTAAGCTGGGTGCCACCTCTGAGCCTGTTTCCTTGTCTGATGAGAGGGCTGAGGGCGTGGTCCCCTGGCTGAGCATCCCTGCCCCGTGTGCTGCCTCCATGTGTGCTCTGCACACCCAGCGCTGTGAGCAGGCCCTGCTGGGGTGGGGTGGGTGGGCCTGAGAAGGCCTCCAAGGCCACGATGGAGCCGGCCTGGCTGCTGAGAGAGCACCAGGCGGCCTCTGCCAACGTGGTGAAGAAAAGCAAGCGCACACGGTGATTTTCTTGTGAGCATTTTAATGCAAACAATACGGTGCTTTTAGGTCTTGGAACATCTTATTATTTATTTATTTAGGCCACGCCCCACAGCTTGTGGGATCACAGCTACCTGAACAGGGATTGAACCTGGGCCATGGCAGTGGAAGCCTAGAATCCTAACAACTAGGCTACCAGGGAACTCCCAGGTCTTGAACATTTAAAGAAAAAAAAGTGCCAGAATGGGATAGGCTTTCTATGAAGGATTTTTTGGGGATGGGTAGTATGCAGTAATTAGCCCCTAAGAAAGAAAAAATTCTCAAATCAGATTTTTTTTAAAAGTTGAAGTTTTATGAAGTTCGGAATTTGCCTTCTCAGAGAAAATTATTTATCCTACTGATAATGAAACAGAGTGTAAGGCCGAGGCTTACTTCTCCATTAGATACCAGAAATAACCCTACCTAGAACACACTTTTCCCTGACTTCCTGAGTTCACATATGGAAGACAAATTTTTATATAAACTTGGGTGACTTTGCTTTTATGTGACAAGCCTGTTATAAAACTCAACTATCAAGAAAATTGTCAAGAAATAACTAGTCTGAGAAATGAGATTATAAAAGGAGCCTGTGGATTTACTTCTTCAACAGTAAGGCCAACCTTTCATGTTTTAGCAGAAATAAAGGGAATAATAGTTACTATAAGCCTGAACCATGATGACAGAGCAGTGGGATACCAAAGGCATCTGACAGTGACAATCTCAAATCAACAGCCTAGTTACCATGCATCACAAATGGTAAAGGCCTTCTCCCTGTCCTGGGTTTGCGTTGAGTTGCAGTCCCCACCATAAAAAGTTTTTGTGGCAAGATGAAAACCAGCTGATCCTCATCCTCTGAAAATCCATAGTTTAGCATCTAGAACTGTTTTGGTTGGCTCAAGAAGGCAAGTGGCTTTGAATCTACATTTTAATTGGATACCTCTGCTTCTCTTAAAAATTAAATGGAGGCAGAAGGGCTGGGTGCTAGCAGCGCCCAGAACTACTTGCTGGGGCTACCTACTCTTTCTGGAGAAATATCTCTGCAGGCAGTAATTGCACAGCTTAATTCTTCTAGACTAAACCACTTCAGATTTATGCCAGTGAAAAGCAAACGTTGTTTGTAAGTCATTTAATTGTGTTACTGTCTCTCAACTTTATCAGACGCTGCTGAGGCAGAGAGGTCTGTGTGCAGTCCTGTGGGATGCGTTACAGAGCTCCCAGGCTCGTCTGAAATGCCCACAGCTCAGAGCTCCAACACTGTTTTTCCAGACGAGCCTAATAACAAACTACTAATTTAACAGGTTCAAGTGGTATTTGTCTCAATCCGGGATCCACATTGAAGGCTGCATCTCTCACAGATTCACCCCCTTGATCGCAGAGCCATTAACTAGTAGACACTGAGTCGCAAACCTGGTTTATTATGTTCTTTGGTTAAACGTTGTTTCTACCCTTTCAGAGAATTATGAGAACAAAGCTAATAATCTTATATAGAAAGACTGAAAACACATCTTTTGCTTTTTTCAGTGCAAAGACTGCATTTACATTGTTTGTGCACTATTATAAATTCTTATACTTAGGCCAGACTTATAAAAAGGTAGGGTTTTTGTTGTTGTTTGTTTTGAAAAATAGATTCTCCTGGGCTAGCCAACATCACTGTCCTGGGACCCTGACCCACAAGTCTCTGGATGAAGGCCTCTCGGCACACGGGCAGAAGTCCAGTCAGCTCATCATGTCCAGTGGCTCAGTGCTGCCATTGCTACGTAGGGCCTCAGCCACGTCTCTTCTGAAGACAGAGAGGTTCTGGGTGAACCTGTGGGAAGAGGAAGAAAGGCTTGAGGGCAGTGGCTAGGCTGAAGCTGTGTGACCCTCTGGAGGCAGAGTTCAGGACCCTGGAGAGGGTCTTGGCGGAGCTCCCTCCTTCCATTTCACAGTCACTATAGCTCCTCCCTTTCCCCTCCCAGAAAAGAAGGGTTATCAGCAAAGACACTAATCATTCTGAGGGGTGCGTTCTGTGGTTATACCATTTAAGAATTATTTTTAAAAGTCAAATTACACATAGATAATAATGAATATAAAGAAAAGAACCAAAGCTTATGTTGGGTTTACATATAAATTCATTTAATCATCGTAAGTCTTCCCCAGAGCAAGTGTTAGTATCCTTATTTGCAGATGAGAAAACCAAACTCAGTGCTGCCAAAAGAGGGGGCACTGGATAAAACCACCTGGGTTCAGATCCTGACGCTACTACTTCTTAACTGGGTGATCTCAGATGAACACTTAACCTCAGTCTTGGTACCCTACGTGATAGCTACCTTATGGGACTGTGAGAATTAAGAATTTACTGAGTTAAGAGAGACAGTGCCTGTAAGTGCTCAGCATCCTGCCTGGCACATGGAGGACACCCGTCCTTTCTGGCTAGTACTCTCACTAAACAAGGGACTCATAGCGCTGCTCAGGAGGTGGTACTCAAACTCCCAAGCCTCAGGCAAAGCAATTTCCCCCTGAGGCACCTAGCAAGGCACTTCCCCTTCCTTCACTAAGTCTCTTCTCCTCCTAGCCTGGAAGCTGCCCCTATTTGCCTGATAGAGGATCTTGGTGGGGAACAAGGAGTGAAGGGAATATGTCCACAGAGTCCATCTGACTTGGCCTTGTATTATCAAAGCCCAGGTTTTGGCCTGTGGCTATGGGGCAATTAACAATTTGCATTTCAGTGGCATACCATCTGAATGCTAACACATTTTATCAAACGATGGGGCAAGTGGTTTTTTTTTTTCCCTGAAAACATTTTTTCTCTCCATCATTAATTTTGTCTGTCTCTGCCACTAGAAGCTCCATGAGGTTAAAAAAACCTTGGAACAGTTAGTTCCCCACTGGTATCCCTGATGCCTGGCACATAGCAGAGTCTCAACAAAATTTTGTGAACTAAATGAATGAATGAATGAATTCAAGCATAGGTGACAAATTTGTGTTCCTCATCAAGATCTCACTGGCAACTTAGCTGTCTCTGTTCTTGCAAAACCAACCACATTTAAAGGTCAGACAGAGGAAGGAACTACTTACTTACTTACTATTTAGTCTATGTCTTAGGTACCATGTTTACTATATTCTGTTATTTAAATGTCACAACCAATTATCATCATCTTTGTTTTACTTGTGAGAAAACAGGATCAGTGGAGTTGACTGCCTTACTCACTGCCACACAGCTTATAAAGGAATAAAATTTAAATTGGAATCTGTCTGCCCTCAAAGTCCATGTTTGTTCAAATGTCAGAAAGCCTTTCTTTGTCCTTCATAGCAGTTCTAACTCTTTCTTTCTTTTAACCTTTCAATAAGTTATTTTTTCTGTGGGATTATAAAATGCTTAAGGGCAAAAATTGCACTTTATTCCCCAGTGGCTCAGTGGTAAAGAATCTGTCTGCAATGCAGGAGACACAGGAGATGTAGTTCAATCCCCGGGTTGGGAAGATTCCCTGGAGGAGGGCATGGCAATCCACTCCAGTGTTCTTGCCTAGAGAATCCCATGGACAGAGGAGGCTGGTGGGCTACAGCCCATGGGGTGGCAAAGAGTTGGACACAACTTGGCACGGATGCATGCATGCATCCTACAGTGCCTAGCATGCTGCTTGGAAAAAAGCAAATGCCCATACTGGATAGAACTAAAGTGAGCCGAGGGCTCCAAGGTGTAACGGGAAACTGCATCAGTGCGTGAGCTTTGTGAAGTGCAGCCATGGAACATCCTCTCCCGGAGACGCTGAACTGCTGGGCGTCACTCACTTGTCCCTGTTCTTGAGAGACAGGTTCTGCTCCACTCCTTCCATCAGGCTCCTGAAGCACTGGGCAAGGGCCTCCTGCTTGGGGAGAGGCTGGCTGCTTATCAGACCTGCCCTCAGTTCACCGAAATACTGTTGGGAGACAGAACAAGTGTCAGAGGTCTGGCTCCAAACTGGGCCTGAAGAAAGCTGGGGAGGTGGGGTGGGTGCTAGACCAGCCCTGATGGGCTCAGGGCTCCTAACTCTCAAAGGGGCTTTGGTCCAGGTCCACTTTGAACATTAAGCCTTGAGAGAAAACCAGAGCAACAGAGACGTTCCTGAGTATAAACTCTATTATCCTCTCTCATAAAATCTGTTGCTATAATTGTTTTATCGTCACAGAACAATTTAGGCTGATGGAGCCCTCACCTCCTGGGTGGGGGATCGAGCACATAAAGGTCTTCCTCTCCTCAACACTCACAGGAAGGCTGAAAGAGGAATGGCCTCTTAGGGTGAGGGAGGAACTTAGCCAGGGCGCACTCGGGCAGCCCTTAGCCAGACTTAGCCAGGCCCCGGGTCCCGCCTCCTGCTTCTCCGTCCCCCGCCCCCCGTGACTTTAGCGAACTACTTCTCAAACCACCCCAGGCTCTGTGTTCCCCGCCCTGCACGCCTGGGTCAGGGAGGGTCTGTTCGGCTGAGGGCGGCACCTCAGGGGCTCGCTTAGTTCTGGGAGAGCTGTCTGACACTGAGGAAGATCCCTGTCGCACCTGGTCACAGAGAACTGCACAGCCCTTTCCTCTCTGCTGATGACTGTGGGCTTTTACACACACACACACTCTTATGCTAAAAGCAGCTCCTAATCATTGGAAACAGCCTAATTTCAGCACAAAGACGACATTTTGCTAGTCATGTGTTTATCCTTCCAGGCCCAAACAGCATGATATTTAATTTTCATCATACATTAAAACAGCTCACATGAAAAACACACATAATTAATATGTAGTCAGACTAATACTTAAATACTATATATCAGAGGCATTATACTTAAACCACAATGTCTTCCTGAACAAGATTGGGAATGCACAAAACTACTTATTTTTCCCTTTTATAATGATGCAGTGACTCACACCAAATAGAAAATTATTAGTTTTTCATCCCAAACCATGAAATATTGCCTCCATCAGTAAAGTATAATATTGTGATGTCATAAGCTTTTTCTAAACACTGAATTTGCCCTTATTCCCTCTCAATCATTTTAAAAGAACTGCTCTCTTTTATAGAGCTTGGATTTAAATCACAATAACACCGAGGGAAGATGAATGACAGTGCTATTGAATGTGGCTAAAATTGGATACTTCAGCACAGGTGAATGATGAGACAGCTCTTCTCTTTTTGATATATTTTCTTCTTCTATTAGTTTCCTTCCAAGGCTGGGATTTCAGTTTGAATTTTAATGTATGCGCTGTCTCTAATCTCTCTGTCTTTCTCCCCGGTACTCTCTTACTGTATAGACAATTCATTCTCCCCAGCAGTAATGCACTGTTCCTACTGACTGCTGGGGGGACAGGGGTGGGTTCAAGGGGAAGCTGGAGCACTTGGGAGGCAGCCCAGAGTGGTGCGTGCACTTAAGGGCTGGAGACTCGTGACCTGGATAAAGGGTGCTGCCTCTGTATTCGGGGGACTGCTAGCATTGAGGGCGGTGCAGAGCCCACATCAGGAAGGAGGCCCAGGAAAGGGCAACAGGGCTTGTTGCCCAGCATCTCCTGGAGCAGGGAGGGGAGTGAGGGTGAGCTGGAAGCACTGCTGAGCAAACCACCTGCCCAGTGTGGGGGCTCTAGCTTTTCCAGAAAGGCTCGCTGGAGGCGCCCACGTAACTGAAGGCGATCTGAGGCCCCCGAGGAGGGGCCCTCTGGGGGAACACGGCCCTGTCCCGGGCGCTCAAGCTGCCCGTGCACGCCCGGCTGGCCCCGCCTGCCACAGCCTGGCCCGGTGTCTGGCTGCCCCTTCCTCCTGCGGTTGCCCCCTGGGGCCTCCTGCAGCCACACTCACCTTCTCGTTGAGCAGGATGAGCCCTAGGAGAGGCCTGGATACGGACCACTGGTTCCGACAGTCTTCAAAGACAATGGTGTTCATGAGGACGGACATCATCTAGAAGACAGAGTCACAGGATGACACTGGCGCCCTGGCTGGAGATCGCCCCAGCCCCAGGCCTTCTATGTGCTCGCCTGCTACCCACCACATCTGGCCATCAGCCCTGAGGGCACCTGCTGGACAGACAGCTTTGACTCTGGAAGCCTGTACCGCTGCCTATGGGAACTCTTGGCAAAGACTCTCAGCTCCCGAGGAAGAGCTGCCCCTACTGAAACGTGTGGTGAGAACCTTCTGGGTGGGAGAAGTCAGAGGCCACAGGTCCAAGGGGATCAGTTCCTACCTCTCAACCCAGATGTGCTTTCCTCTCTACTGGGTCATCAGGCAAAAAGCTCAGCTCACTTTTGAGGCTCTCATTTCACCAAAGACACGGTCAAGTTATAGAGGGGCCACATCTCTCCATGACCCCCTCAGACAGAGGGAGAAAGGGAACCCAGCCCATCTCACTCTGGAAGTCATGGTTCCTGCTGGCTCAGGCTGTGAAAAATCTTTTCATTCGTTCCTCACACACTAAGTTTATTCATTTACTCGCTTCACTCCTACATGGCTTATTTTTTAAAAAAATCTTTATTGAATTTGTTATAATATTATTTGTTTCCTGTTTTGGTTTTAAGGCCACGAGGCATGAGGGATCTTAGCTCCCCCACCAGGGATTGAACCTACACTCTGCATTGGAAGGTGAAGTCTTAACCACTGAACCACCATGAAAGTCCTACTCCTGCATGTCATACTCATCCATTTTCTTAAATTCCAAGTCTGCAAGATGCCTGGGAGGGGGTAAGAGAACACAGACATCCACCATAGCCTCTGTCCTTGAGGAGCTAAAAGCTTCCTGGGACAGACTACTCAGCAGAGATAACAGGAACCAGGGCTGGGCAAAGATGCTGTGGGTAAGCAGCGGAAAGACAGATACTTCTGGGTCCTTGAGAATCAGGGAAGACTCCACAAAGAAGGTCACAGTTATGGAGTTCATCATAAATGTGTTCTAAGCAGAGAGCAGCAAAAAAGGAGACTGGGCAAGAACACAGGGTTTTGCAATGGTAAGGAATGCAGTGTGGTGGGGAGAAGAGAGGTGGGCCAGAAGCAAGACCCCAGTGCAGGCTGGGAGACCTCAATGGAAAATCTGGCCGTTTGCACCTAAAGAGAGACATGCTCAGATCTGTACTTAGTAAAGCTTCCTCTGGGACACATGGACTGTGCAGGTGAAAGTACAGGAGGGAGGGGAGGCCAGAGATAAGGCTGCTGCAACAGTCCCGGCAGAGAGTGATGAAGCAAGCTTTGGTCACCCATGTGAAGTGGATGCTACAGTTCCTGCTTCTTGGACACTATACCCCTCATCTCCAGTCCTTCCTGTTTCACTGCTTCAGAGCTCCTTTCCCTGAAGGAAGGCAGGGGAAAACAGCAATTACGTGGCAAAGTCTACTACACACACCACCCCTGACTAGGCTTTAGTGACATCTGGCTTTGTTCTCTGGCCTTTTTGCAACCCAATTTACCCTGTGATCTCGGGCAAGTCACTGAACCTCTCTCTCTGTGTCTTAGTTTCGTTACCCTTAAAGAGGGAAATGATAATCCAGTACAAGGAAGCTCAGGGAATCAAGTGAGGATCCAAAGAGATGGTGGATATAAAAAGTGCTGCAAAGTGTGAAAAGTGTTATAAACATTTAAGGTATGTGTGCGTGTGCACGCTTAGTCGCTCAGTCACGTCTGACTCTTTGTGACCCCATGGACTGTAGCCTGCCAGGCTCCTCTGTCCATGGGGATTCTCCAGGCAAGAATACTGGAATGGGTTGCCATGCCCTCCTCTAGAGAATCTTCTCAACCCAGGGATCGAACCCAAGTCTCCCGCATTGCAGGAAGATTCTTTACTGTCTGAGCCACCAGGTAAGTCCATTTAAGGTATATATATAAAAACAACACTGATGAGCTTTAAACAGCTTCTGTTCCACACATCATCATCATCACCCTAACAGGCTGATTGCAAATGAAAGCTGCCAGTACACATTTATTCTATGTCCAGTGTCTCTGGGGAGAGGCTGGGTCTTATGCTGGCAGGTTGAACACCATTTGCAGATCATGTGTTTCTGTACACAATCCAACAAGCCACCCAAAGCCATAGAGCCACAAATTAAATTGACAAGCAAAACTAACAGATCCACGGAGACAGCCTAAAATATTACAGGTTTCACAATCTGAAGGCAGAATGGATATTTTAATGGAAAAGATTAAAGTTAGAGGCACCAAAGTCCTCCAGTAACTGACAAAGCATGCTGAAGTGATGTGCCAATTACTTTATACTGTTCTCCCGTGGATTCATTTGTCTGAATGCATGTATTTATGTCTGTAATAAGTAAGGGGATGTTTGAATAAAATACTTTTCTAAAAATAAAGTTGGCTAAAACAGATGACTTTTTTTTTTTTTCTTTTTTACTCTTCCGGAAAAATGGAAATTAGTGAGCAAATCCACTCAAAGGGTATTGACATGGCAACTTATTTCCACAGTTATTTTTTCTAATAATCTGAGAGGATATGGGGAAACAGTTCAATCAGTGTAGCAAATCCCTTTGGAGAAAGGTCCCCCACCCCTATATGGAAGAATCCTGGGTGAAATGCGTAAGTAACTGCTCCAGATACCGTGGAATCTCAGGTGGTTATGGATGGAACAAGTCAAGACGGACAGGAAAGAGCTCCTGCCCGCTCCGCCATGGCCCACTTCAGCCTGCATGGAGTCACAAAGTGCCATCAGCGCTGAGTACATGGAAGGCTGTGTGAGTGGGGCCTCCACCCTGCCAGCCTCTGCTCACCGCCTACAGGCATGGCTGGAATGGCCATCTCAAATTGGCCTAAACCAGGCTACATTTCCCAGAGCCTGTGTCCAAAAAGCATATACATTATCCACTGTATTATCCTAAGCAGCTAGTCTGCCCAACCAGGGAGTGGGCCACTTGGGAAGGGGGGTGATGTGGCTTAGTCCACTTAGAAAACCAGACACTGCACTGTCTCAGGTGCTGCTTCCTTGTTTCCCTTCTTCCTTCCCAAGAGGCTTGGGCTAAGTTTGCAGAAAATCTCTATCAGTGAAGCAAAACCAACATTGGTTTGGTAGGGACAGACTTTGGAGTCAGTCAGAACTAAGGCCAAATCTGGCCCTGCCACTTATGTAACCTGAGATGCTGGGCAAGTTGTTTCTCTTTTCTGAGGCTTTATTTCTTTACATATAAAATGAGAGATTATAACAACTACTTTGCAGGGCCACAGTGAAGACTGCCTTCTCTCATAGGTTCTCAGTCATTACCGGTGCTCCTCTGCTCCCACCACGATTACCCCGCCTGGCCTGACCCAGTGGAATCTCATGGCTCAAGGATGCACCCGATTTCATGTCTTGATTACGGACAGATAACCCAGATTATATTCTCCTCACAATTATCTGATCTCGCTAGGAGTTGCAGTAAAAGTAAAAACAATATCCTCTACCTCCTGCTGCCAAAAAAAAAAAAAGCTAAAATAGAAAACAGTACAAAAATCAGTTCTGTTTGGTCTGGCACATGTATTAGTATGGATTTTGAGTGATAATGTTTCTGAAAACTTGTAACCTTCTAAATAAAACATGAAGTGACTTGGCGAACATCTGACCTGGAGAAATAAAACACAGCAGTGTTGTGTTACGCGGACCTCCGCTCACTCCTCAGCTCTTCTCCTGCGCTTCTGCCCTGAAATGGGATGGGAAGTGCCAGCACACCGCACAGCGGGCCTGCCTGCTCAGACGTGCGGGCCCGCCCTTCCCTACAGCAGGCTCTCACTGCAGAGGCTGGCGCAGATGTCAGCACAGACAAGGCCTGTGCTGGGTGTACTCTTTCTAAGGACACTGGAGGTCCAGAGTGTCTAGAAGCTGGGAGGAGAGGATGGCTGAGAGGTGTGGCTCAGTGGGTCCCGGGTGATGCCTCATGGGGTGTTGGGGAGACTGGTCTGCAGCCTTCTGCCGTCCTGGGACCATGGGGGACACTTCTCTGCACCCCTCCTGCCTTGTGTGGCCTCTGGCACCTACCAGAAGTTCAGGAAATAGCTACTGGGTGACAGGATGAATGCACAGATTAATAAATGAAAGAATGGGAAAGGATGAGTGAAATATCAACTAAAGTATAAAGAGCCAAAGAGCTGTACAGGAAACAGAGAAGTTCTGGCCTCAGCCCATGGCTAAAACCTGAAATTGGTAAATATCTAAATTAACACACTGTTCATTTCCAAGGATCTTGCTTTTGTGTGCAGAGCCTGAGAACGCTTCTAAGCCACTGCTGCCTCTCTAGCCAGCAGCTGCCTGGAAGAGATTTCTAGGGCCTTTTAGGTCACCAAGGCTAAAGGCTGAGGCACCATCTTTTTTAAGAGTAAGCTGTGCCTGATGAGGTTTCTCTCTGCCCGGTAGGAACAGATACATTTGCAGAAAGCCCCTGGGTGCTCAGCACTCTGTGAGGCACAGGTACACACTGTCTGCAACTCCCAGCTAATCCTGAGGGAGACATTATCCCCATTTCATAGTCTAAGGAGCTGAAGTCCTGAGCAAGTCAGGGACTTGCTTCAGGCATCACACCTATCAGCTACTGTGATGTGAAGTGGAATCAGGACCTGCGCGCAGGTCTGCCCAAGTCCGGAGGCTGCTGCCTGACACCCTGAGGCTGCCCATGGGCGGGGACCAGGCCTGCGGCAGGGGTGGCGGCACTGTGCGTGGCCGTGGCTCCTTCGCCCGCCCTCAGAGGGCCTCCCAGACATGCTGCCCACGTGTGTGTCCTGTTTGGCCACTCGACCACTTGCTCAGCAGTCAGGCAGCTACTGAAGTCCCTGTGATTAGAATCCAGGGAAGGGGTTCTTGGTGAGTCGGCAGGAGACCTTCTTGCCTCCCACCTAGAGTTTTTATAAATCTGGTTACCATATCTTCAGCCTCTCAAGATGAACAGCAGCAGACATAATTAATAGATTGTCTCTGTAAAACGGTCCATTGAACCATTGGT